TTCCACGACTGTGGGATTAGATCACCTAGCTATCCAGTCCACGTAGCTCATGCCACTGCAAGGAGCTGCTTCTCTTGATGAACAACAACTTTCACAATCTTCTTGAATTCACAGTCATTAGAGGATTACGTTAATTTTTATGTAGGCTGATGGCATTTAGATAGAGAAGAGTCCTGCAAGTTGTCTTCCCAGTTATGTAATGAAGCTTTTGCATTACTTACGAGTGTCACTAATTATGTTTCAGCTCAGGAAACTGCCTAGATGTCACATGTTAACAGGAACAAGTAGAACTGAAAGTTGAGGGGAAGAAAAGAAAACCAATCCAGAGGTCAATATGGGAAGGAAAAGAAAAGCCAGTTAGCAGGACACTTCATGGAGTTACTCAGACTGTTCAGATATATCAGCAGGTGGAGAAGATCCCGGTAGGAAAACTGTATTTTGATAGCACTGTCACAAAGTTCAGGTTTAGTTAGTAGCCTACAGCTTCATGAAACAAAACTGATCACATTTCTGTGATTAGTAAGGAAATGTACAGAGGACATTCTGTTAGTAAGGAATTTGACTTGCTCAGTGAAAAAACCCAACCAAAACAACCAGCCAAAAAACCCTACAAAACAAAACAAACAAAAAAAAAGGGGATATTTTAAAACATTAGGATTGATGTGAGGACCTTCAGTCAAGTCATGTGAAGGTTGTGTCACTTCTAAAATGAGGTATTAAATAGTATGAGGATCAAAGAGGAAAAAGGATATGAAAGTAGACTGTTAGAACAATTTGTTTGAGCTGTGAGACAAAACAAAGGTCAGCTGGGTTTCAGGACAGCAGAATGGATCACAGCTTGAGGTGGATGCTACAGGACATAGTAAAAAAGCCCCAAAAACCTGCAGGAATTTTTAACAGAAAAGCAAACTGGAAGTTGCAAGGGTCTATCTGACTGCAAAATGCAGTCAGAAAGAGCCTGCAAGAAGCAAGAATAAAAGGATGAGCAAATTGTTTAAGCAGAGACCAATGTGACTTCCAACACCTTCTTTGGACTTAGTAAATAGAAAATGATATTGAAAATAAAATACATTTAAGGAGACCACAGCTGAAGATACATACCAAGAAAAAATATTTACAGAACACACACTGAAAGAAAACTCCTTGCGAGTGAGTAAAGACAAAGCTTTCTCCAGTGGTGGGGAAATCACGTGCAGATATTTCCCAAGTATTTCTTAGTTGAACACTGGAACACCGATTAATGGGCCCTCTGACATCACTGTAAACCATCTGGAAGGGAAATCTAAGCTTATTAAGAACAGATGGATAAGAACCAGGTCACCCTTCCCTATTGCTCCTATTTGTAAGCTAGATGTAAAAGTAACCTTGTAAAGACAGTTTGAGCTGCTCTGGGAAATCACGCCTAGGATTCAACAAGCCAGACAACAGGCACTGAAAAAGAACAGGAACAACTAGAAAAAGCTGTTTCCTGAGACCTGTCTCCTACAGGCCCCTAACTAAAGACTCCTGCCCTTCCCCAAACCTTCAGCCCCCGTCATTACCAGTGATCTGGGTTCATTATTCCCTCAGTCTAGAAACAGCCTTGTTAAATAATGCAATTGTTGAGCATGTCATGCCAAGAACAATATCTGTGTTTTCTTCACCTGGCACCCATACAGTGGTCATGCCAGGTTATGGGGCTCAGGTTGATTTTTAACATTTTGAATGTTTTGGAAAATAATATGTCGTTCAGCATGTTCAATCAAGCATTAGGTTTCTGCAGTTTAATCATCCTGTAATAAATTCTGTCAAAATTGTTAAAAAGGTTTCTTAAAAATGCTGAGAAGTCAAACTTGGCACCAGTAAATGAAACGAAAGCCTGAAAACTTGCTGAGGTGTTATTTAATAGAAAGCCTAGACCAGTTGCATGAGTATGTAACCAACTGTGTTAAAGCTAGGGATGCTGTGAAGCCCTAAGAGAACCACAATAAAATCAATTAGAAATACCTTATGATGGGAAGATCACTTGAGCTAACATCCTTGCAGGCAGAGACAAGGACAGTACATTTGAACAAATCGAAAAAATACATTATTTATGTGAGTACAAAATGCATCCATTGATCCTTCTGAATTGTTGCTGGTTCCTGAAAAGCAGTTGCTAAAGGGATTACTGGAGAAGCTGCAGCCTGTCCGGGAGATGACACAGAGAGGCTGCTGCTGCAGAATGAGCACACTCCAGCACCTGCCCATCCCCTGTCAGCCTGGCTGACACTGGAAGAAGCAAACCCCTCAGAAATCAGTTTGGCTACTCACAGTGTTCCTCAGGCCAGACCTTTTCCATCACCAACATGGTGACTGTGAAACTGTCAGTCACATGCACGAGTCAGAAACAACCCTTTCTCAACAGATCTTATTTTTTTTTTCAGGAAAAAAAAAAGTGAATGAAAAGCCAGTAGATCCATGCTTGGTGCCTGCCAACTAGCACAACATGCTGCTGATGGCTTGCAAGCATTTCTCATCTAAAAGGGTGCTGAGGAATGCTTTCTGGTCAGTACTTCGAAGGCACCCAGGTGCTGCAGAGGCAGCCAGAGGTTCAGGTTGGGAAGAAGCTTTAGCAAATTTATGACACTGAACAGAAGTCCCATGAAGAAGTATTCATAGATTAAGTTACTTTTCACTTTTACTAGCAGCTCCTGTTCTCAGTGCCTCATTGGCAGAAATATCCCTGAGCCTTTTAGTTTTAGATTCCCAGATCTATTGGGTTAGAGGTTTAGGATCATCTTATGCAAGCTAAAAATCATGCTGCAGCCTGCTCAGCTCTTTGCTGGTGTCGACACAAGCAGAACTAGAAACCGCTCATGCTGAACACCATATTTTGGGTTTAGGTTTTGTGGGGCTTTTGGCTAGGTCAGTTTTCAAGTAAGTGAATGCCCTGCATCTGCTCCCCCCCATCCAGCAGTGGCACAGGGGAAACAGGAGCAGCACCCACCTGGAGGCAGAACTGCTCCTTTGGGCAGTGGCACAAAGGGAGAGTCCAGAGGGTGACCCTGAAAGGGCTCCTCAAGGAGAATTTCCATGTCAGATCCAGTACTCCAGCACCTGCAGTGCCACACCACTGCACACTGTTAGAGCTGCTCATGCCAGATCCTGCCTGATCTTCTCAATATAACACCCAGCACCTAATTCTGCAGGCAGATGGAGGCTCTGAGAAACTCTCCCTGCAGTCAGAAATAGTTTTGACTTACTGGAAAATCTCATTTTCTTCCAAACTGTGCATGTTTGCACCTGTCCTCTGTTCTCTGCCTGGTTTCTTCTTTTTCAGATCAACAACCCCCCCCTTTTCCTGTGGCTGGCCTGCTTCTCAGCAGGCTTTTCCTTACCTTCTCCTGCCTCTGAGGAATTTGGCTATCATACTCTGAAGACCACCTTGCTGGAAACAACTCTCTCCCACATGATGAGTGGTTTCTTCTGTCACGGAGGAGAAGAATGGGGGAAGATGATTTATACATGGGCATAATTCCACAGAGTATTTTGTATAATAGCAAAACTCTTCCCAAACCCTCCATCTCCCTGCCCTTGTCCTGCCCAAAGGCTGCATGTCCAAGCCCCCTTAAGTTGATGAAGCCATGGAGGAAATATGTGGAATGTTGCAAGGACCAATGCAGGGTGACAGCTGAAAATGGTCACTGTTCAGTCCCTTCTCATCCACTTCAAGTGATTTTCGTTTTTACTTCCTGACTGCCTGGAAAGTTCTCTGCTCACCTGTGACTGACGAGACTTGATAACTAATTTGCAAAAGAACAATCTTTAGGCTTCTGCAAAAGCAGTGAGACACGGAAGTGCATGAATTAGCGCATCTTAGGGACTTACTGCAGTCTATCCAAATTTTCTAAAGGCACTGATTAAGCCTGAAGATAGCAGTTTTAGGAAAGCTGATGAAATCCTACACACAGCCCTTCTCTTGGTTCCTCCCAGCTATGGCACACACAAGTGAACCATTTGTGACTCCTCTGCTGAATTACAACTTATACATCTCAACTGTTTTAAAATAAACCATTCATTTTTGTTTCCATGCTATCAGTCATCCGGAATGTTATCCCATTATCCACCAAGTTTCAAGTACTATGACCATAATTCAAGCTTTCCCCACTGTCCATCCTAGCTGGAGTACACAACACCAGGGAACTTCTCCATCATTGGGAGTGCCAGGCAGCAGCAGGGTAATCCAGAACAGCCACCACCAGTGTCAGCCTGCAGGGTGGCAAGGAGGTGGCCATGCCAGCAGCCAGCCCTCACAAAGCCCCTGTGTCTCACCACTCACTGCTGCAGGAGCTGGCTCCACAGCCCTGGTGGGACACTGCTGTGTGCCATTATTCAGCCCACCATGGACTTCCTCACTGCTGGTGCCATGGCATTGGGGGGATCTAACTTCAGCAGCTACCATATCCCTGTTTTCCTTGACCTAAATCCAGTGTGGACAGAGGAAGGAGTGAGTGTTACAGAGACATGCAGACTTGACACAAGGTAAGAAGAGATGTCAGCAATGTGACCAGGAAACAAAGCAAAGTTCTTTGCCAACATTCATTACAAAGCCTTCAGGATGCAGGAGCTTCCTATTATTTACTTGAAAGGCAGGCCATAATTCCTCTCTTGAGCACCATGATGTAGGTACTTTCACTTTTCCTTCCACATTCCCTGCCCAGCCTCCCTTTGGCATATCAGCACCATTACAGGCAGGAATCAAGCCCTAGGTGAACATATCTGTGGATCAAGGTCATTTTAACTCAGAAGGTGTCACAGGATGCAAGGCAGGTATGTCCCCATTCCAGGCTAGACAGATGGTGGATGGTAAAGATTAGCACTGGTCATGGGGAAAAAACCGCCCCTAACAAAAAACTATGCCCCCAAAGCCATCAGGGGATTGGTACCAGTTCATTGCATTACAAAGTGTTCTAAAGCTACAACTAAAATTAAACAAACATTAAAAAAATGTACTGAAGAGTAATTTATTCAGTGTGAATTCAAAGGACATTCCACCATTCATTACAGGACCACACAGCTGGTCTCAGTGCTGTACTCCAAGATATAGGCAGGGTAAATTTGTTGCTTCTCAAAGATGACAAAGATGGAAGGGTCTGTCGGGTCATCCACACAGCTGTCATAAAGTCTGTTTGAATTTTTGGCTCTGGGTGGAGGGCGGCAGTACTCAGGGTTCCCCTGCACAAAGTCTCCAACAAGAACCTGAGCTACGAACATTCTGTAGCGCCCGCTTTGAGAGGAACAGTACTCGTGGGAATAGCTGGCATCTCTGGCAAAGTAGCTTCCTAGGGAGCAGAAAAAGCTGCAGGTCAGACAATACACCAGCCAAGGGACAAACACGTGATAACAGCACTTTGGCAGCCAGCAATTCAACAACCCCAGCTAGCCCTACAACATTCTTGCCAGGAATTCCCACACTGGCTTATTGTAAAGTACCAACAAACTCCAGTCTGCATTTCGCCATCCACCTCCCATCACACCTGTCCAAGAGCAGGTACCCAAGGCAAAGAGAGGTGGTTTTAGCCCTTCCTGGGATGGGATTGCTGTGGGTGCTGGGTGATGTACACAGGTGAGAGTGCCTTAAAGGCAAGAGTACATGGGTGTCTCACTCTGCACCCACATCCCCCAGCCTGGTTGGGCTCTGCAGTCCCTGCTGCTACAGCCCCTACACCCTTGTGCACTTGTACCTTTTCCATACATCGTCCCATGAGTCCCACAGAGTCTCCAGTCAAAGTTCTGCTCACAGATGGCAGACACATGGGATGGACTTGTGCCATGGAACAGGAGCCTCTCGTTTACCACTTTCAATTGATGGAGCTTCCTCATCTTTTCTTTTTGCCTAGAGACAAAATAAAACAAAAAAAAAAAAAATAAAACAAAAAAATCCAAACAAACAAACAACAAAATTACTTGTTATCCTGGTTCAAACAAGGAGAGTTTCCCAACTCAACTCTTCCTACTTCTGGGTTATGGAGGAACAGTGACACCACTCTCAGTGGGGTTACTGCCTGCTTTGTGTTTCTGCTGGTACCCTGCTGCACAGCTGGCTCCTGCCAGCAAAACAAAAAGTTCTCAGCATCACTATGGACTGTGTCACCCACAACTTCATACCACATGAGAGAGTAAAGAGACAAACATCTCTTGACTGGGAATTGGTCAGTTCCCATGTTACATAAATCCTGAATATAAAAATATGATTATAAAACTGAGCTGTATGAAGCCACAGTGAAGACTGTATAATCTCTGCCCCTTTATCACAAAAAATACCTCTCCTGTTTTTTTCTTTCTTTTTTTAACTCCTATGTGGAAGACACTAAAACCAAAAGAATAAACCTGAAACACCAAAGCTCAGTTATGATGAAGGAAAATAATTTGCTTTTTTTGAATAACACTAGCAGGCATCACACACATCTTGCTAGGGATAAAAGGCCCATTTCTACACACACAAAAGAACACAGACGCAACCTTAACAGCCCAGTCACAGAAAGAGGTGCCCCAGTCTCCTTCCAGGACTGCCCCAGGGAAGCCTCAGCCTCAGAGACACAGGTTTTGGGGCAGTCATAAATCTGGGCCACCAGCTAGACCTGGGAAGAGAGATACATGGCAGCCTCACCTCTGCTGGACTGCTGAATTTGGCAGCTCCAAATGTAGTCTATGAAGGACAACAGATCAGGAAATACCAGTCTTCTCATACAGTAAGGACAATGAAATAAAATAGATACAAACCACTGAAAAATGTCCCAAAGTGTTGGGTTCTGGATCCTCTGCAGTTGGTTGATGCAGTAATTTTTCATTGTCTTCTCAAACAGACTCTTGATTTTTCTATATTCTTGGGAATCATAACTGAGCTGTATCAACTGAAAATTTTTAAAACACTAAAAATAAGGTATTACTAAGAGTATCAACTCCCAGTCCTTCCAAAGGACTCATCAACCTTCTCATATCTGCTGAAAAGCCCTACCAGAAAAATCACAAGCTGCTCCTGTTTTTCCTGTTAACCCTCCTTTACCATCACTCCCCATGGGGAAGCCCAGGTGCCGACTGAGGGAAACCAGTGCAATCCCATGAGACCTTCCTTTAGAGGACACACCTCCACATCTGGACTACTTTTAGTTCAGAGTAACCTGAAGTTGAAACACACAGCAGTATTCAGGCTGAAGCAGAGTGAAAGTTTCACCTGACACTCTAGCTCCTTCCCTACAGGGCTGAACTGCAGTTTTACTACAGCAAGTAACATCCTGCCCCAAACTGAGAGAAGAAATACCCCCTTCAAATGCAATTAATCTGCTTTATCAGAGGATGAAGTGCCTTGAGAGAGTGCAAAGGACAGGTATGAGCAGAAATGGCCTTTTTTACCCAGTGTGGCATCATAAGGGATCTCAATGAGCCTCCCAGGAAACGCATGTCTATTCTGAATATTAAACTGTTGGTCATGTTTCACATCATAGTTGCTTATTTTACAAGATACATTTTTAAAAGCTGGTAACATCTCAATTGCCTTGAATTATGCTCTTGGAAAAATCAGTACAGGACAGAGGTCTCCCCATCCACTGGGGAGCTGGAAAGTCCTACCTTGAACCCGATATCAGGTAGAGCAGTTTTGTCCCACTGTGGAGGATAGACTGGATGCGAGAGAGTCGTGTTTTGGCTACAGAATAGAAAAAGGAGCCAGTCAGCTGGTGATACTCCTAACCAAATCCCCCTTCTGGAGACTTTAACCTCTAAAGGCTCTAAAGCACCCTTCAGACATCCATTCAGGAGCTACAGTGTGTTTGCTTTTTGAATGAACACACCTTAGGTTGAACCAACACTTTATTTGAACCTTTAGCTTCAACTGCTCTGTCTTCTGGTGAGTTTCTAAAGCAGAGACAGCTCTTATTAAAATAAATCAGTACCACAAATAACATTTATAGCAGATGTGTTCAAATTCTGTTAAGCTGAACTTCTCTTAGAAAAAGCCATAAGATAGGGTATCTCAAGTAAGTGCCCCTAATTCACTTCATTTCAGTGGATTTGCCTGTTCTGAGTTTTAGTTTCTCCTCAGATTTTCAGGGGATGACATCCATATGCACCACAGCTCTTGGGATTGTCAGTCCCTCACTCCTAATAGCTGCACAGTTTATTTATTAGTGTTGGGGCATAAATCAAGAAATAAAAGCTCCTGGCACAGTTGTGTCAGCCCTATGTGGCCTTGCCTCTCACAGAGAGAGCAGATCTACTCCAGTGGTCTCTCACAGCTGCCAGAGACTGCCACCAAACATCCCTCCAGACAGCTTTACAGAAGCATTGCATAATTTACAAATACTGTCACTGCAAAATGTACTGTTAAACCAGTCAGGAAAAGGTATCTAGAAATGAATTTAAGAAATACAAAATAGCATTCTAGGCAGGTAGGAGGAACTTCTTAGCAGACAGGTGCTGTCCTCTAGAGACATTGTTAAACAGTGCAATTACCTTCCATCTTGTCCACCTTCAGGCTGTTTAGGCAGTCGAATAACACTTCTTTGAGTTTGAAAGAGTAGATTTGTTTGGATCATGTCTTGAAGAAAAACACAATAACTCAATAATGAGATAATTCATTGTCTAGGGAGAGGCTCTTAAATATTAAGTAAAAATAAAAGAAGAGATAGCCTTGAATATTGCATTGTGGAGCTCTCTCTATCCCACCCACCCCAGTTCAAACTTCATTCCCTCTTGCACTGCTCCTACTTGGAGATCAGCAAGGTTAACCACTTGTTAGCACAGGTTGTGAAACTTGAAGGCAACCAAGCACTAACTGCACCTGCACTGGTATTCACATCCAGACTGCTGGCCAGAGAAAACCACATCTGATGGCAGGCCTGCAGCAGAAAAGAATTTTCAGTGCAATGGGGCCACAAACCTGGCTTTCCTGGCAGCACAGGGCTGCTCCATGGTGCTAAAAGGAAAGCCTGCCCTCGCTTCTTGGTCCTGTAACAGTATCACAGAGAACATGCTATGTGACATGGCTGATTATCCATTGTTTCCTCCTTTAAATACCACTCTTTATTCATGCCAGGAAACATTTAAAGTTTGGAAAGCTAACAGGAGTTTTAAGATGGGTAAATAAATTAGAAACAGAAAAGCATTTCTCATTTCCCCATTTCTCTCTCTGTGCAACCAGCCCTAAATTTGTGTTCGCTGCACAATGCTTTCTATCCTGTAAGTAGCTTGCAAGATGTTCACCATGGGCTCACTTCTTCACCTTTTGACTTTTCAGTGCCTTTTTTTTTTTTTTCTCATTTCTCATTCCTCCTTTTCAGGTGTATAAACCCAAATGTGTAAGCGAAGGTGCCATGAAGCATTTATTCTCAACTCTTCTGAATGTACAATATTTTCAGGTATATTTTTTTGACTACAGATGCCCAAGTGAGAACTCCAAGTGGAGCATCCCAGAACTGCAGAGAAATTTACCTACTGCTCAAGTTCTGCTTGGAGAAAATTTGCAGGAGGAAGAAGAGCTGTTTGAAGAGATACAGACATTCTGTGAAAACATTCAAGCCAGCTGCTCTGTGTAATGAACTTAAAACAAGGAGATACTTCACCTGCAAAGTCTAACTTATACTTCTGAGAACCAGCCCTGAAAAAAATAACACCATTCTTGTCAGCTAGATATTCCTTCTCCAGAAATGCAGATGTTACAGTGGCAGTGACGTGATCTGGGTGCTGCAGAAAGAACAAGGAAATTATACATGTTAGAAACCACCCTTCGGTTTAGGTGTCACTGTGGGGAAATTCCAATGTTTTCCCCAGGCCCCTGTGACAGGATGATGTTTTGTAGTAAGTCTCTATGGCTTCAAGCATTTTGTTCTACAGCAATGGAGGGGTACCCCACTGAGCACAGCTGCTTCTAACAACAGCAACAAAGCAGCCTTCAGCCTGTGTGGTCAGCTCCAGCCAAATGATGTTTGTCAGCTCTGGAAAATGCACCCACTTTCAAAGCCAGTCCCTTGGAAGCTTTCACAGAGTTCCAGTCCTGTTTTGAGGGACAATTAACAAGACAATTCCACACAGGCTTTGGAGCAGCACTGCAAGGGCACCCAGCGGTGCGTGTAGAACACACCAGCTGCAGAACAACGCGCTCTAAACAACTCTCCAAAGATGCCTTAACAAAAGCTTTTGGCATGAACAGCAAATGAATTTCACCTCTTTCCCGTACTCAATCCACTGCTTGGAATCATCGAGCCAATACCAGACATACTCCATTTCAGGAGCAGACAGATGGGTCAGGAGACAACTCAAGTGCAGAAGAGCAGATGGGCACCTTGGCTGCTTGCTCTGCCCTGCATTGGAAAAGAAATCCAGATCAAACTAGATGTCCTTTCCAAAGCTGTCAAGTTGTGCAGTATCCCTGGTCTGATCAGAAATCTATTCACTTTTCAAAAAAGGAGACCCCCTCCAGCTGGGAAGTGCAGGTTTGCCCCAGAACTGAGGAACTGGTGTTTGGATGTTTACAGGGCATGGTAAACACCACAGAAATGACCCTGACTGCTCTGGCTTGGACCTGTGCCACTGGTTTTCCCTAAAATATATCTTCCTAAAAAACACCTTTTAAGAAAGTACATTTGACACAAAGATTCTCCTGCAGCCCACAAAGAAGGCCACGGTGAGACAGCTGTTCCCCTGAAGCCTATGGAGATCCATGGAGCAGAGATTCACACTGCAGCCCATGAAGAAGCCCGTGCTGCAGCCTGTGGACAGGCCCCGAGGGAAGCTGCAGTCCATGGAGAAGAACCCGTGCTAGAGCACGTTTATCCTGAAGGACTGGAGCCCATGGGAAATGAACCATGCTGAAGCATGGGAAATTTTGAGAACATTGGAGGTGTAGATGGCAAATCTTAGAGACTGAGGACAAAATCCATTTCCCTTCCCCTCTGTGATCCTTTGGTAGGAGAGGGTAGAAAAGTCAGGAATGAAGGAATGAAGTTGAACCTGGGAGTCCAGCAGGATGGGAGAGGGGAAGTAGGAGATCTAATTTTCTTTTCTCACAATTTAAATCTATTTTAATTGGCAATAAATTAACTTCCCCCAGGTCAAGTCTGTCTTGCCCAATGTTCACCTTGGCTTTATCTCAAATGATTAATTTTCCCATCCTATTTTCTCCCTGCTGTCCTGCTGAGGATAGGGAATGAGAGAGCAGCTCTCACTTGGAGTAGGGGATATCATTACTTACCAGCAAAGTCTCTGCTCTGCACTCTATCCTAGACACAGCACCTACAAAGAGAAGAACATGAAGCAGGTAGTCACTGCTAATTCTAACTCATAGGATTTTATTTAGCATCCTTGCTGAGCATCACTGTTCATTTAATTTCCCAGTTTTGGACTCAGACAACACTTTTTTAATGTATCTCACCGATTTACTGCCCCTACAACATTACCTATCATGGATCACATATCCATAGCCAAAAGCTGCCAGCCGTTGAGCTTCCAAGAGTCTGTGACAACGCTGCTCTAAGCTGCCTGAAGAATCTGAACACGATATTGAAACAGAAACTGGAAGTGATCATATGTCCAGTTTTGATGCCCTTTGTTCTTTGGCAGGGATCAGAGGTATTCAGAGCAGGCCAGCGAGAGGAAATCTTTACAGGAGCAGCTCCCTCATAGAGCTGTTTACAGTGCAAAGGTCCACAAAACAAAGGCATGGCGGTCCCAGACTGCCAGAACAAAAAGCGAGGAAGAACCCGGGTCTCCTTTGCAGACAGACCTTGTTCCAGCACTATCTGTGTACACAGTACCACTGGCCAGGCCTGCTCCTAGAAAAATGCTCCAAATTCTTCTTCTCTTGTATTGCAGGGTGTTCAAGAGATCCAGCACAACCATGAGATTTTTTGGACATGGCTGTCCCTGTTTTCCCCTCTGCACAGCACCATGATGCTTCTGCTACCAGCACAGCTGAAGAATTTGAAGTTTGTGGATTTGAAGGGTGGCATTTGAGGGGGGAAGTGGGGAGAGGGGAAATGGAAAGGAGATCAGGGAAGTGGGGTGAGATGATGTTTCCAGACAGCTTTTTTCCACTGCTTCTCCCCTCTCTTTTCCTTCTATCCCCACTCCAGATAACTCCTGCTAACCCCTTCCAGCTTCCCTGCCGGGACTTGGGGCTCCCAGTCTGCCCTAATCACATGAGCTTGCAAAACTGTCCGCTGGCCACTTGATTCCCTTTTCACTTTCCAGCATTTCTCTCCATGCTGGGATTCTCCTTTCACCAGCTAACCACAAACAGAAATAAACAGAGTGAAACACTTAAAAAAAGCAGACAGAAATATTTCACCAGCAAGACAGGTAGTGTCCTTCACTACCATTCACACTTCCATTTTGCTGAAGATCTCACTACATGGTCTTGTGCAACTGTACATTTACTTTTTATATCTTAATGGAAATTACTTTATACAGAGAAAAGTTCATACTTAAAAGCAGCCTCATGCTAGCTTTTTCCTTACACAAGAAGAAAAGATGAATGAGTGAAGATACAAACACAACTTACAGTATGACAAAGTGCAAGCAGGTAACCCTTCAGCAGACCATAAAGCCAAGCCCACAAGCTATGAAATCCTGAACTTCCTGTGTGTCCAACCCTCCCCTCTCAGCTGCACCCTGAGAAGGCTGTCAGAGCCCAGCATGTGCCACTTGCCTGGCACAGTTCTGTCTTCAGGCTGCCCAGTCATAACCCTCAGGAGCTGAAGGCATCAGCCTTGTGCTTGCCAGGCTGGATGAGCCTATTCAACCCTTGCTCTGCATGGCAAAGGTGCCCTGGCTGCAGCAACACCTTCAAAAGTAAACCACAGTTGGCCTGTGAGAGTTCCCTGTGAGCTCCCCACAGCACATCTGTACCTCACAGTCTTGCTCGCAGCCTCTCGCCGTGGGACCACCGATTCCTCTCTGCCACAGACCCTTGAGGAAGTGGGGCTGAGTAACATTTCCTTCTGGTTATTGCGACAGACGCATGCGCATCTGCCAAGTATGAGCCGGCCGGCCAGGCACAGCCCTGGGCTTTGGCAGATACAGCTGTAAAATCAACATCACTACGAACCAGCAGAGTTTATCCCTCCTTCTGGGTTCCTGTCATTGCACTTACCTAAAGCAAATTCCTCACAACCTTCCAGTAGCTGGGGATATTCAGGACCTTCTCCTTTCTATAATGAGTAGCTTCTGCTGAATATCATTCTTGGAAATCCAACAGCTTTTATTTGCATTGTAAATTGACACCCCCCCCCCCCC